TTTAGAGGTTAATTAAATATCATTTTATAAAAAACAGAAATTAATTAATTAAATACAATGATATGATAAACATTGGGATCGTTTTTTAAAAACGAAAGTAAAAAAACGAAACTACAAAGCATAACTGACAACAGCTGATTTTATCAGCTCTCGTATATTGAAATTATTGTTAAGTGTAGTGGTTAAAAGAAAATCATATTAATTAAGATAAAGCAAGAGTCTAAAGTGAAGTATATTGAATTTCTCCCCCCCCTCCCAAAATGTAGTATTGTACGTTGTGTTTCTTTGTTAAATGGCTATGACAAGGGAATACCCACTTGTCAGTCACATCAAGACTCTAACGATTTTAAGTTTTTGTTTGGGGTGTTAGGTATCCTTCATAATTTATTTTGTAGTATTTGATTCCTTTAATTTTTTTTTGTGTTTTAAAATTAATAATAGGAAATTAGATGGCACATATTTCTTACCACCGGGCAGCAGCAGCAATTTTTCAATATTAATCTTTCAATGTAATGTCTAATTACAATTTTCTGATTGTGTAATATGTTGAAAATTAATCATTGTAGAATCTAACAAATGTTCCCAGAAACTTTTTAAATTTTTTAAACTTTGCAAAAATTCTATTGAACTAAAAGTATCTGAATCTTACTATCAATCTGAAAGTGTTCTTATACAAGCAATTTTAAGTAACCTGTCCTAAGTAAAAATTAAGTCTGCAATAAAATATAACATATACATGCATGTGTTTGACTGTTTGCATTGATGCCTAAAAATTAGGGAGCATTTTGTTACTCAAACCTCAACAAAAATGTCGCCGCGCGCTATGACCCAACATTTCAATTCTGAATGTTGGGTCATGACCCCCCACAGCATCAATTTTGGTTGGCAGGTCTGTTTTACCGGCGACGCGTAAATTCTAATGCCCTAATTCTAATGCAATAGTTTTGTAAAACACTTTTTGATTGGCTAGTGCACTGATATTTGAAGCAGTAAAACGAGCATTAACGAGTGTGAAAGCTTTTTCATTGTGACGTCATAATAGAGCGACGCAGAAACACAATGCTCCGTGACTTATTTCATGTAACAAAATTCATCAAAATAAGACGTAAACAACAAACAAAATGCATGGATTGCATTAGAATGGGAATAACTATTCTTCTAATTTGGTATTTGCGACCGTTAATGCTGATTTAACGGTCGCAAAATTTTACCGGCTCCGCTTACGCGCCGCCGGTAAAACTCTGTTTGCGACCGTTAAATCAGCATTAACGGTCGCAAATACCAAATTAGAAGATAGTTATTCCCTAAATTTAAAGAGGCTCACAATACAGATTACTTCTTTGTATATTCAAATGTATTCAATATATATATATGTCGATCGAACAACACTATTCCTTTACCATTTTAATCCACGAGTTATGTTACACTTTTTTGTTTGTCGTTTTCTCTCCTAATTTGGGGCAAGAAAATGGAGATCAACAACGATGCTTGATGTGATGAAAACTTTGGAATATTACCAGATCAGTTCTTCGTAATCTGTTCCCACATCCAGACACTTGTATTTGAATGTAACTACGCAGATTAATGCCTAGGTAATTTGTTGCAAATTTTTTAATTTAACAGTTCATAAGGCTATAGAATACCACAGGCACCTGACGTTACTTATTTTTCTTTTAATAAAAAAAAATATACACATACTTAATAATGAACAAGGTACCCATCGAAAGCCGCCATCTTGGATTTTTGAAGTAGGTCATCACTTGTATTTTCGTCTGAATCTCCGTCAAATAAATTCCCTGCAACCATATTCTATCTGTGGCCAGTCTTTCGATGTCTAAACTTATGGACACTGCAGCCAGAAAGGCGCATCACACTTGCAAATATTGAAAATCCCTCGTCAAACTCAACCTACTGCTTCAACATTCCGAGAAATCGCCAAAGAGGGGCCGGAAGTTTACATCAATATGCTAATGGGAATTCCGTTTTTGTCAGTTTTGTGGTGGATCTAAAACGGCGTGTTATAATTACTTTGAAATTTTAATAAATATTTCGATTATAGAAATGAAAAAAAGCAAAATGGGTAAAATAAAACACTTCTTATAAATATACCTATAAACTATACTGCATCAATCTAAACAGGTCGTTGCGTTCGAAAAAATCTTCAATAAAAGAGGGGGGACTGCCCCCCCCCCCACTTTTATCCCCAACATTACCTTTACTATAGAAAATGTCTATTGAAAAGACGGTTGGCCCCCCTCAATTGTTACCACAGTATATGCAAATAGGAAAAAATTGGAAGTGAAAGGAAGTTTGCCTTGAAAAAAGTTGGCAACTACCCCCCCCCCCCCCCCCCCCCCCCCCCCCCCCCCCCCCCCCCCCACGAAATCGGATTTTCGAGTCTGGGTAAGTTTCAATTTTCGTATTTTCTTTTTTTTTTAATTTTTTTTTTTTTTTGCTTGTCAACTTTTTTTAGGTAAAGTAAAAAAATTTTTCTCAGGTTGCCCCCCCCCCCCCACTTTCAAAAACGATGCTACGTGCCTGCCTTTGGCGATTTCTCGGATTGTTGAAGCAGTAGGTCAAGTTTGACGAGGGATTTTCAATATTTGCAAGTGTCATGCGCCTTTCTGGCTGCAGTGTCCATAAGTTTAGACATCGAAAGACTGGCCACAGATAGAATATGGTTGCAGGGAATTTATTTGACGGAGATTCAGACGAAAATACAAGTGATGACCTATTTCAAAAATCCAAGATGGCGGCTTTCGATGGGTACCTTGTTCATTATTAGGTATGTGTATATTTTTTTTTATTAAAAGAAAAATAAGTAACGTCAGGTGCCTGTGTAGAATACTTATGCAGGCGTACATGTATATGTCATGATTCACCTCATTTTGTTAATTGAGAAAGCGTTTTATGAAATATATGTTCTTTTACAAAAGAAAGGTTCAATACGTGACAGATTCATGAAAGAAAGGTATATATGTATGAGACTTTGGTACAGTACTGTAATTAAGGTTTAATAATTCAGCAATGTGAATGCAAGAAGTTACCCAATAATCTATATTTAGTAAAGAACGAATTTCGGAAATTTATGTCTATAAATAGTATTCGAAATATTGCGTCATAAATATTTTTTAAGCTAACTAAAGAATGAATCATAATTATAAAGCAGTTTCTGATACTAGCATTTAGTCATACTTCGTATGGAATAATTATTTAAGGAATTATTAATTTAATTTTGCTTGTATTCTTGCCTCTCATTGGTTGATTTCCAAAAGGGAACGCATAACATTTTGTATAATCTGGTTTGATATGGGGACACACCCCCTTGACAACCAGCATAATCATCTTTATCCAGCAATCCCCTCATTTCCCATCCTTGGGATTCATGGAAAATTACAGATTTAATGAATGTACCCTTAATTTCAAACAGTTACATCTTACCTCATGTAAACAAGCATCATGGTGCTAGATCTATGTATCAGTTTTTACCTCCCCTCGCTTCCCATCACTTCCGTTACTACGGTTGTATTATTGAGCGGTAAATTTTAACTCATAAAAACAACACAATTTTACATCCCCAGTTGAATAATTATTTTGAAATTAAATTATAAGGAATGACTCTAATTCTTGGCCAAATTATCGAGTATAATATGGTTTGGGTCAGTTTACGCTTTTTTATAATCCGCTTCGCGGATTATAAAGCGTAAACTGACCCAAACCATATTATAGGCTCGATAATTTGGCCAAGAATTGGAGTCATTCCTTAAATAATTCATAATTAATCAAAGTTCACGATTCTTTTTATGTAATTTAAGTAATTTAAATCATAGCTATAAAAAGTAACAAAATGGAGACGTGTGTCTTCCAATGTACAGTGCAGTGCAGTCGTACGAATCAATATGGCTGAATGAAATCATGTACATAAAAAAATGTTTCAAATATACGCATTTTAACATTTTACAAATCTGTTTCAAATATACGCATTTTGAACAACTTCCAAATCTGTTTCAAATATACGCATTTTTAACAACTTACAAATCTGTTTCAAATATACGCATTTTTAACAACTTACAAATCTGTTTCAAATATACGCATTTTTAACAACTTACAAATCTGTTTCAAATATACGCATTTTTAACAACTTACAAATCTGTTTCAAATATACGCATTTTTAACAACTTACAAAGCTATAAACAATGCTCTTATATGATACCTGTTATTTCATCTACCTTTGATGATATCGGCCAGGCTAGCTTAACATTCAAGATTGTAGCTTTAGTAATTACGTACTGTAAGCTACGTAGCCAATACAATCCTGAACGCACCTCGGTTGTCATTTGAATCAAAATGGTCAATTTATAATAGCTAGTCAATTTCCATCTGTTGCAAGGAATTTCTTCTTTTTCGGACTCACAAAGTTAAAATGCTATACAATATCACAGTTATTTTATCTTATCTCCGTTAATTTGATGTTTTCAGTATTGCCTTGAATCTTATACTTTTAGTTCTTATGCATATTGTAGGTATATTTCGTAAAGTATATATTGTTCATGGGCGTATGCGTTTGTGTGAAGACTTAAAGGATGGAAATTTCCATATAATCAGTATCCGAAAAAATTAAGACAAAATTACTTTCTAAATTGTGAAAATATTTCAAAGAGTAAGTAAAAATAATTAACAGTAGGTGTGGAATTAGCTGCGGAACTGTAGCGTTATGGTTTTATAAAAGTCTTTGACCATAACGACTTATAAAACATAACGCTACAGTTCTGCAGCTAGTGTGGAATGACCAAGAGTACTGTATCAAAAAACAACAACAAAACACAACTAAAACTTTATTTGTAAGAAAGTAACAATATCATGACTATAAATAGTAACAAGATGGCTTCGTGTTCAGAATAGTTGTCATACGAAATAATACGGTTGAATTACAGAATGCGAATGTATGTTTAAAACTCAAATGGTAAAATAGTATATAAAACAAAATCGTTTTATTTTAAAAAACACAACACACAATATTCATAAGTTTCAACCTTTTTTTCCTGTATCAGTGCAAATGTAAGTATAGCATGTATAGCTTTACATGATACATATTATAGTCATATTCACCTGTGGAACACAGTCAAATGCACGTGTTTGTAAAATCACAATGTCTACAATATGATCAGATGAAACTGTCTCACAACTTCATACAGCGATCACCATGACTGTACATATATCCGGATGAGGTAAAACATATTTCAATGAAATGTACCTATAGATGAGGCCACAACTTGAGCTATACGCTCTACTTCTTTTTTTATTCTGAGGTTTTCAAAAGTTGTTATAATTCCTCATATGTATGTATCACTATGAATAAAGTCGACCTAACAACACTTATATAAAATGTTGAATTTTTTTTTCGACCTATAAACACAACCTCTAATAAGCAGGGTAACTTTCCGTCACACGTTTTTTTTCGTTTTGTTTGTTTTTCTTCATATTGGGAGTATGAGAATGACTGATGGGGCAGCGTTGATTCGTCACCTGTTGAGCACGTAGAGGACATTCCCGGGACAGGTCCTCATGTGATCCTCCAGCCTCTTTCTGAGCTCGTCTCTCTCCGTCTGGAGAATCCTTAACTCCGCCCTCAGGCGCGTGTTGTCCGACTCCAGACCCCGCACCTTCTGTAAAACATAACGCAATACAAATCAAATATTTCAACTGAATTTCTCATACACATTTCAAAACTTTATCGAAATATTTCGTCATGATTCAAATAAAGATTTTTCATAAATATACCTTTGATTTCTTAAATTATATACAAGGAAATTAAATGATTTACTAATTATTTCAACTGAAATTTTGTGAAGCTTTTTATATTTCAAAACATATATTTGTACAAAAAAAGATGAAGAGTTGTTAAAAGGTGTTACCTTTTGAACTCGTTCTCCTGTCGTTTTCTGCTTCTGTCGGAACCGCTGGGCCGCCAGTCTGTTTTGTTCACGTCTCCGGTCTACCTTTTCTTTTTCCTCCTCTGTTAGCTACACGAGAGTTCAAACGAACACCATCTTAAAATTCAGCACAATACGTCTTGCATTAATTAAAAACATTTAATTGAATTTTTCATTTTTATTCATTTTTAATTCATAAAGCAAGTCAAATAAAAGCAATATAAATATTTCAAGAAGGAACCAGAGTCGGTTATTCTATTTATAGATTTTGTTACCTCAGATTGTGTTGGGGGTTCGAAATTGACCGTTAATTCTCCCATTCCGGCCGCTAGGCGGCGCGACTGTATGGTCAGTTTAAGCTCTTCCTTGACCAGTGGGGTCATCTCTCCTGTGTCCAAGGCAACCAGAGCAGCGTCCATTAGACTATCCTGGGAAGAATTGGTATAGTAATCCGTTTTCGCCATGTTGTCTACTGATGGGTACAAGAGGCCCTTGTCTAGCATAATGGTTCAATTTATCTGTAACAAAAAATTCAAAGTATAAGCTAAAATAGCGATGATTTAATTTAAACTTTCTGTTAGCTGATCAAGATAAAAAAAATATTTCACTACACATATATTTAGAACCATGAAATAATTGTGAATTTTTTTTAGGATAAATGATACATAAACGTAAGTAGTACGTTTAATCGAACTGATATTCAAATCCGTATAAATCGGACTGTTTTAAATTAAGTACTTTTAATTACAACCGTGAATCAGATACCGTATTTCTATCTGTACTGACAATTATAAATTTACTTCTAACATTTTTTGTGAATTTGTCACTCTTATTCTATGAAGAATATTTGTACGTACAATATACGTATACAGTATAATCATCACAATTTCAAATACATGTCATTTTTGAACACTTTTATGAAAAAAAAATATCTAACTATAATATTAAAAACACATATATCCCGAATTATACACAGGATTACATAGGTGAATCAGCATAATTTTCACACATACTCTTTAGCGTCTGTTCTCCTCCACGTTGCTGGATATTTTAAACCGTTGTGCAATATTTTCCTTCTATTTATGCCCTGTGCGATCTATATTTAGCTATGACGTATGTAAATAGTTCAAATGATCTTTATAAACTGGTTCCCGAGTACCAATACATGAATCAACAGTCTACAAAAAATGTATTCATATTTATGTATGCAAAATTTTCCTGAATATTTACAATCCCTTTTTACAAAAAGATATACCAGTAAGTTAATTAAGAAATCCCCCTTTTAAACTTTTGTAAATATAGGAGTTTGCGGTACCTTCGCTGTTTAGCTATGTGAATTGCTAAATAGGAAATCCCATATGCTATTTTTAGATAAAAGGGACGGGCCTTTTCAGCTAACCTTGCATGTGACTGATCATGAATATTTCCAGTTTCCGCGAAAACGTAGGACATACGCACCCTCTATGACTTAGGGTACATTGTATATACAATGTATACTATTTATTCTATTTTTTAAAAATATATATACTTATATTGAGAACATTTCCTTGTGTTTGATGTAAATAATTTTAAAAATGAATAAAAATAACCTAACTTGATATTGATCATTCAGAAGTAAAAATTGTGTATATATAGATCTCTATCTACATACTGTATGTTTTTAAAATGTCCCTATCGTTTTCTACCGGGTGTCGCAATTTAGAACAAGCACTTATTTGGGGTTCGTTTGTGTCGTTAATTAAATACCTGTGAAAAATTAAAAAAAAATGATAAATCTTATTTTAAAATGTTTATAATATCCATTTTCAAAGCATGCCTATATTATGTCAACCTTCCCAAATAAAAAGGGATCCCCCCCCCCTTCTGATCACTTTGCAAACTTGTTAAATAAATTATCTCTCTCTCTCTCTTTTGAACAATATATATATACAATTTTTGTGAAATATTTATTATTACGCAGAAAAAAATTCATTATATAATTTTACCATTACTGTATTAGTACATTTTCATGAGTATCTCACTAAAAATTTTGCGCATCCCGGGCCCCCATTTCAAGGATTTGAACCTCCATGATAGATTTAATTATCATCATTTCATATAACAATACATGTAAACATGATATCATTTTTTAGATAATTTTAATCATACTGTAATATATTGTGCATGCTAATCGATGACCCTTAATTAATTGATGAATTAACGTATATTTATCATGATTTTATTTAACTATTGAAATGTCCGTCGTCCACTAAATGTTTAAATCTGCTGTAAGGAGAACAGGAATTATATGAACTTATTTATAGATGATAGAAACCGCTAATCAGGAAGAGCTTAAATTACAGGTGATCCGTCTTCCTCTTCCTTAAAGGAAGCACTGACTCCTTTTATAATTTTAATAAATTTAATTGATTAAAATATAGGTCTTTACAATTGATAGCATGCTGTTACAGCCCCCCCCGAGGTATATAAAAAAAAAAAGGAAAGAAAAAAAATTGAAAAACAAACACACACACATACAATCTCACACATGCGAGAACAGTTACTGTATTTTAATCTGATTGATTTTAATTAATTAAGTATACCTATTTTGGGAGATATATGTGTATAATTATTTTTTCTCTGTGAAATATATTTACAGAGATAAACTTGATACACGTATGCTGATATTCCGTCAAATATTTTCAAAATTTTCAGAAGTCGGGCACTCCCATTCCTTTTTTTGAAAATCGCCACCTTCGCATTCATTATTCCTGGAACTCAACCAACACAAAAAATGAAAGTACTTATAAATAGATTACTCATTAAATAATTAATCGAGCCAGATTTATTTGAGTATTTAGTACTGTTCTTGAGTACACTTTTATTTCGCAATGAATATTGTTAGTGTTAATGATTAGATAATATTAGATAACAGAAATTAATAAATAAATAAAGATAAAATAATTGAAATAAAAGTGAATAAATACACACTTCCTCAATTGACATCACATTATTTATGACTTAAGTTTCTTTTCCATTCCTACATTTACCTTTTTATGACTCAAGGTGAAATGATCAAACAGTCGGGTAATGTTTAATGAAGAACCTATACCGGCATTATATTTTATAATAGGATATTACAAGGTACATACAATTTTAAAAAGGCGGTCCCGACTCAGGAGGAAGAAAGTTTGGGGAGGAGGTTTTTTTCCCCCCAGAAAATTGTAAACCTATAGGCTTTGAGACAATTATTTTAACTGAAATAAATGATTTTTTTCTGTAGTTCCACTCTCCATGTTTCATATTAATTCCGTGTGTGTGTTTGTAAATGAAACAAACAAGTTAATCGGGGGGGGGGTATATAACACACATATAAATCGACAGATAAAAATCTGAACATTATTAAATTTATATTAAAGTTATATTTTTTGTGTGTGTACAAAATTACCACCAGTTTACAAAAACTATATTTAATTATAAAATTAATTTCCAGGATTTAGACCCATTTATTGAATAACTTGTTTATCATATATGTAAATGAGCATTATGTATTGTACATTATAAAAATGACAGTCTAACTTTTTCAGGCGCTCTAGCTCAGTAGCTCACTCTCTCGCTCTCATCTGGGCCGCACTTCACAGAGCAAAGGCTCTTCGGAGCCTTGTTCTAAAATTTCAAAATCAATACTTACTTCTCAAAATCATTTTCTGCTAATTCTAAACTGTCAAATAAACTCTAAAAAAACAATTATTTTTTCCTCATTGGTTCACAAAATTTCAAAATCATTGATAACTTTTCAAAATCCATTTTTAGGAATAATTTGAAAAAAAAATAATCTAAAATATAAGCTGAAAAAAATTTTATCTATTAAAAAAAAATAACACAAAAAACCCAATGTGAGTTGAGCAACTCTACTATTTATAGGGTTGACATTGGAGTACATTCGTATACAGATCATTGCCTGTTCAAGCACAGCTCAAAATGAAAGGAAACGCAAATCATCATGTAATGACTATATATATAAAGGCTTTATTGGTGTTGAACTTCATCAAACTTCATATTGAATATTTTGCCATTCTTCCTAGTCAAAAAAAGACAATACAGAAAGTTAAAGCAATATGAGCTGCACATTTTATGTCGAATTTTTTTGCTGCAAAATTGTAAATAATTTAAATAATTATTTCAATGACAGAAAAAATGTTTATAAACTTCTGTTGTTTATATTTGCGATGTAAGAACTATTTATAATTCAGCTTTGATTGAATTAAAATTACATTATTGTCGTCTTTTACAGTGATGATTTCTTATATAATACTGTTATATTCTTTTGTATAGAAGTCTTTCTTCTGAAACAATTTAATGCTTTATTTAAGTCAAATTGATCAAAAAGGTTTATAATACATTTTTATTTAACATAATAAACTGTAACACATTTTAACAGCAAAAATTTTCAAAAATGCAGCTCACATTGCTGTAATCTTATCATAGAACAAGGTACTGACTTGATAGGAAAACTGACAGCATCAATTAATGACTGAAATTTACCCATATATACTAAATATCACAATAAATTTAAAAATTGAAAATATATACAATAATTTTAAAACAGCACTGTCAAGTCAATAACATGAGTGTAAAATATGCTCAGCACATTTTTGGTAACTTCAGTGAAAATGTGACAAATGAAAAAAAAATACAATCATATCAATAAAATTTTATAGATATTGCCATAGATTACAAACTACATGTAGTACCAGTTTTGTTCAGTTGCCATAGATATCTGTCAGACACGCAACAAATTAACAAAGAATCACATTTAATTGCAATGACAGAACCAACCAAACATCCCCAAAATAATAAAAAAAAAATCAAGGAACACAAATAATTCATGATCACAGAGTAGGCTCCCTTTCCCCTCCAAATCATTTGGTCCCCAGAAATTAGTGATCACCCACCAAGTACCATCCCACCCCCTGTGGATTGTTCCTCATGATAAAGTACCAACCACCACCTCTTTAGTTGTGTGATGACCAGTAATCCCCCTACAGTGTATTAGTCTTAATGATATAGTTCCAGACCACCAGCTTTTTAGTTGTGTGTGAACCAGTAACACCCCCAACCCCCTTCTCTCTACAGTGGGTTGGTCCTCATGATATAGTTCCAGACCACCAGCTCTTTAGTTGTGTTTGGACCAGTAGCCCCCTCTTCTCCAGTGGGTGACCAGTAATCCCCCCCTCTACAGTGGGTTGGTCCTCATGATATAGTTCCGGACCACCAGCTTTTTAGTTGTGTGTGGACTACAGATTTCTCCTGAGGACTGAACTGTAGGATGGTGGTGATGGCGTTCAGCATCTGTTGCTTGGCCTTGGGATCGAAGCTTGTCAGGAATTTATATGTAACGTTCTTAAGATACTCCAGATTAGCACCTTCTCTGGCCTTACTTCTATCACTTCGTCGGATTTCTTCTGTCAACATCTCAATTCGTTCCGTTAGTGACTCCTCCTTAGAATGACTGTTTAACTGTAATTCTCTAAGAGCAGACTCCAGTTCATGCTTTTGTTTACGCAATGTGTTTATTTCTACCTCCTTCCTGGAGAGTTCTTGACGGTAGAACAGATTGGAATCGCCTTGATTCAGGGAAGACATGTTCAGTAACCTTGACACTGCCCTTTCCTCCTCAGACTTACCCCCTGGGAATTCCGCTGAGGCCCCCGAGTCGGGAGGATTCTGAACAAAATCGTAAATCGGCACAGACGCCTTCAACATCTCAATGTCTCGATCTTTCTCGGCCAGTAAAGACACCGTCCGTTCTCGTTGTTTCCGAATCTCGACTTCTAACTCGCTCTTCTGGTGTTGATATTCGGCCTCTAAATGGAGAATTTCTGCCTTGTGTTTCTCCTGTAGTGACATCAGTGTCTTGTGAGCGGTCTCTACTTTCGCTTTCTCTTTCCCTAGTTCTGCCTCATGTTGTATATGTAGAGATTTCGTTCTCTCCCTGAGTTCATTCAGCTGAGATTTCAGTGTATCTATTTCCTTACTGTTCCCTGTGTCCTGCAGCAGAGAATTAATGTTCATTTAATTTAATTTACATACAATAATATAAATGAGCCCATAGTTTGTATTATTTGAGTACCTTTGAGGTTTTATTTTTTAGCACATTTTGAGCTCTGAGTTTGTATTATTTGAGTACCTTTGAGGTTTTATTTTTGAATACACTGTGAGCTCAAACTTTGTATAATTTGAGTACCTTTGAGGTTTTTTTTTTAGCACATTCTGAGCTCTGAGTTTGTATAATTTGAGTACCTTTGAGATTTTATTTTTGAGTACATTCTGTATAACTGAGTACCTTTGAGGTTTTACTTTTTAGCACATTCTGTATAACTGAGTACCTTTGAGGTTTTATTTTTGAGCACGTTCCGTATAATTTGAGTACTTTTGAGGTTTTATTTTTGAGTACACCCTGTTCAATTTGAGTACCTTTGAGGTTTTATTCTTGAGCACACTCTGAGCCCTGAGTTTGTATAAACTGAGTACCTTTGAGGTTTTATTTTTGAGTATACCCTGTATAATTTGAGTACCTTTGAGGTTTTATTTTTGAGCACGCTCTGAGCCCTGAGTTTGTATCTCTCGTACTCCTCCTTCATGTTTTCTAGTTCGTCTCTGTTCTTCCTACACTTGGGACACTGGCCATCTTCATCTCGCAGTAAATCTGAGTCAAATTAAAAGTAACTCAGTCAAAAATCAAATCACCACTTTACATAAATATTACTAATTCAGAAAAGTTCACCACAATTTTATAAAGCTTTACATATAGACTATTTACTATTGAGTTCACAATCAATTTAACCCCCCGCCCCTCCCCTTTTTTGAATGACTGGGTTATATTCATTTATTAATGAAATGCATAAAAATACAAAAGTAAGTAGCAAAACAGCAAAGTAACTTGTACAAAACCTTGTTACCTTCCAGTAAAACAGGAGTTGCTGTTCTTTGATTGGCAGCTCGTAGGAAGCCATGTAGTTTGACGATGAGATCACCCAGCTGTGACGCCTCTAGATTCCTCCACTCTTCGTCGTAGTTCCCGAGCTGACCAGCGGACCGTGACAGCGCCGTGTTCTCCAGATCCAGCTGTGACATGCGGTCTTTCAGCTTCTGTATGCTCTGTTGGTCCTGGACTTTGTACCGCTCGTAATTTCCCACCAGGTCCGACAGCTCTGAGATTTTTGACTCCAGGGCGGACACGCGGTTTTCACTTTCCTGTTTGTAGCATTCTAGCTTAGCTTGGGACTCGGAACTTCTCTTCTGTTCCTCCAATAGCTGTAGCTGGTACTCCTTCTATTGATGGTTAAAAGAAAAGAAACTTCATACTGTTTGCGTACATAATTTGGCATATTCAAAATTTAGCGCAATCAATAGATATGGAGTTGTTGACGTAATCATGAATTAGCGTTACATGTTTGTATCACATATTCTATTTATATAAATTATTTCTTATTTCTTAGCAGTTTTCATAAATTAGCGCCTCATTGTCAGTGCCAAAGCCGCTAAACTATGAAGCCTGCTATTTTAAGTATTCTGAATAAGATAAAAAAAATGTATCATTTTCTGATTACTAAAGTAACATGCCTTTGATGACACTTTAATATAATCCCCCCCCCTAATTTTTTAACACATTATAAAGTTTTGCAGACAGTACCTTCATTTTGGACGTTTCGTTCTGCAGTTGTACAAGACCTTCTGAAGGCATCTCAGCTTTGATTTTCTCTGCCTCTAACTTTCCGCGGACTTCTTTTAGCTCCACGGTCAGATCCGTTATTTTTTTCTCGTAGGCCTGGGACATACTGGGTAACAGCTGACTTTTCTCTGAGAGTGTAAACTTCAAATCATCCACCTAAAATACAGTGTATCATAAAGTGAACAGGATCTTAGGAATTATGGTACATTCATTTATATTAAGACAGTGGTATAATACAGACCAGGGTATCATAAATTAAACAGGATCTCATGAAATATGGTGAATATTTTATACCAATTGAGGACATATGTTATAAAAACCAGGAAAGAGGGAGTCTTAAACTTTTCTGGCCAAAAAAAAAAACAGTATACAGTGGACCTTCAGATATCCGGACGCCAGATATCCGGATGCTTCAATATCCGGACGACTCCGCATCGGAACGAAATTTTTAAATGTTATTTTGTCTTGTTTAACTGGTGATTCAGATATCCGGATGCTTCACATATCCGGACAAATTGACTGGGAACCAAAGCGTCCGGATAAATGAGGGTCCACTGTACATTGAAACATTGAAATAGAAGGGGAAAAAAAGAAAAGCAGTATAGTTGGGCATACTCTTGAAGTTAAGAAAAGTATGGATAGAGGCCTAGTCATGCTCTAAACTACCTTAAAAGGTGGTACATGAATATCAATGTAAACCATTTTTTAATTTTTTTAGCTTTTATGTGTTACATCCTTGTATACCTGGTAATACAATTTTCACTAAAATATCAAGACATTATGAAATTGACCATAAGTACTTAATACAGAGAATGCAATCACATGACATGTGGCACATGTTTTGTTTTTAATTTCCTGACCTGATTTTCTAACTGGTCTTTGGAGGTCCGCTCCTGGGCCAGTAACTTCTGAAGTTCTCGTAACATCAGGGCGTGGTCGTTCTGTTCCTTCTCTCTCTCCGTCTGTTGCTCCCGAATCCGCAGCTTCAACTGTACGAAAAAACACGAAAAGGGAAGTCAATTTTTTTAACTACAAGAAAAGGTCAAAACAAATGGCTACAGTAAATGTCAACAGATTTTGTATTCAATGCCAAAATACAGGTAAATGTAAGTAATCATTCTGCAAAAGAGAAATCATAATTGTAAAAGAAATTTATGTGATATATAGAGTAAACCATTTTTTTTCCCTCAATCGAGAAATATCCGTGAATTTCACAACCTCCTTTCAGTCACAAATCTTATAACCAATTTTATGTAGATATTACAAATATTAGTAGAAATGGATGGATTCCAAACTGAGGAATCAGGATTAAAAGATGTTGCTAATAATAACTGGTTTACAGTAAATTCAAAAGATTTGATCCCCTATTTTGCCCCCCACCCGTCCCCCCATCAGGATAGAGTTGCATTTTCTGGACCCGGGAAGAGAATTTCCTTTTTTATACATGAGCATGTTTTTCTACCTACCTCCTGTATTTGCTTTTCTAGTTTTTTCTTGTCATTTTCGGATTTTTCTTTCTCCTCATTTATTTTATCATTTAAATCCTCATTCTCTTGCTGAAAGAAAGAAATGTCAAGATCAAATCAGGATAATCATTTCAATTTAGACAATATATCAAATTTTATATCAATCACAAACAAACAATGGTGTCTAATAATAGAACTTAATGCTATAGTTTTCATGAAAATCAAAATGTTGATTGCTCTTTATAATCTTCTTTTTGCTCATCCTACTGGAAAAATAGTAAATAATAAAACCAAGTAAATATAGGTTAAGCGGTAGGTAAGTCAAGTCAGATTATTAAGCGGTAGGTAAGTCAAGTCAGATTATTATCCACTCACTTTAGCCTATACCGTAAATCTGGAAATTTTTACGTCGATTTTATTTTGCGAATTCGGGTCAAAATGGTGTTGATTAATTTTTATGTTTCAAAATTTTGCAAATTACCACTGCTTTGTTTACATTTTCTTATTGGTAATTTATTTTTAAGAAAACTATTTTTGCAAATGCAATGAACTCGCAAATTTGCTAAAAATTTATCTACAGCAAAAATTTCCAGATTTACGGTATAAATCAGATCTAATTCCTTGATTTAATATCACCTTGGAATCTTCTCATCCTTCACTTACCAGTAATCTCTTTTTGTCTGCCAGGTACACACTCTCTAACTTTGATTTCTCCTGGGTCAAGGTTAACAAAGATTCTGTCAAGGTCGTTATTTGGTCCGATTCCGAAGATCCGACCTCCGACTTCTCTTCTTCCTTGCCGTCTCCCTAAAAATTAAATGTAGGATTAAGAACGTCAAAGGATTGAGAACTTGTATTCAAACTGCAATGATAATTGTTAGATAGACTTATTTTGACCATGAAAATGTTTTAGTCTTTAAGGCATGACATGGTGTCATATACATCAATCGAGGTATTCAAACATTACATGTATTAACAATAGACAAAAAAACCCTCCTCTTCTAAAATAAAAAAGAAATTGAACCTTATGGGTGGACTGGAGAGGATCTGTAAACTGGTTCTCTTTCTTTTCTGCTTCTGCCTGGTGCTCTCCCTCCTGTTTGTGTTCAGAAGTTGACGTCTCATGCTCAGTTTTCTTCTGAGAGAGAATTTTTAAGCTGGCATCTAATGCTTCCTTTTCCTTTGCCAGGCCTTTGTAAGCCACAACCAAATCTAAAACAAGAGAATCATTTTTTTTTTAAATAACCCAGTGCTGATTCTTTTAAAATCTCTTTTTTTCTGCTCTAGCTGGCTTGCAATTGTAGCAGACCTTAAAAATTAAATCAGATAAAAAAAATAGGACTTACTTGAAGAAAATTTACAATGAATTTCTTTTTTTTCATAACTTGTCGATTTCATAATCAAATTTTAAAGTTATATCATAGGATTTCAAACCTTTAAGCTTTGCCTCATATTTTGTTATTTTTTCTCTTTGTGCTTCCACAATCCTGAGAAGCTCGTGGCGAGATGCTTTGTCCATTGCCTAAAAACTGGTTTAGAACCTTGTCAAAAAAAAAAACTTGATGAAATGATGATATCTGCAAAAATCAAGAGTAAAAACTATTAAGTAATTTATGTTTTATACACAAAATTTACGAAATATTTGTTAAAAGTGGTATTACAAAGGAGAGGTCCAGATCCTCCAATCATGTTAGCTGAAATGAGGCTCATTGGACTACATAATAACCCAATACAAAAGTATCATCCCAAGAAACCCATGTTAGTCCAACAATTTTGTGTTCACTCTGGAAAGTGTTTAGAATGTTTGCTTTTGCAGAGCAATTGTAATCAATTTCAAATGATGTTTTCACAATGTGATATAACTAAAGTTGCTAATTTGCGGACAGACATCATTATTAATTTATTAAAATCAAAACTGTAGATTGCAGTAGACATCATTCTATGGTGACAACTGACAATCAAGGTAGTTTTTAACTGTTAGATTTAGTGTATGTTGACTATTATTTGCTTCATCCTTTATTCACAATTCGTCAGTTTGAGATCAATCCATGAGAGTAAATTTTCATGATTGAGAAAGCATTTTCTACCATTACATAGCAAAATAAGTGGTTAGATTATTTCATGGCAATAAATATTCCTTAAATGAAGTAAATCACGAAAGTTGCAAACAAACATTTCTCATATGCGATAAAAGTCGGTTTACAGTACGTCAATGAGGAAGGGCATCAATAACACAAGACAATCTTTCATATTATTTCCCCTAAGATATTGATTTGGGGGGACCTCTCCGTATGTCAACTTAGTATTGTGGTCTCAGACATTATTAGTTATGTAGACACTTAGAGGGGTTTAATGTGGGGTCCTTGAAAAAATCCATATTGGGCAAGGCGTAAGCCGAGCCCAATATGCATTTTTTCAAGGACCCCACTTATTTCCGTATTACCCCTCTAAGTGTCTACACAACGAATTTATCCTGCCGATGGTTCACTAAAGATTAAATATTGATAGTATCAATAAACCACTTTCACTGAACGTCCAAGCAAGACGTTCTACATATTTTAGATTATTTAAAGTCTATAACTATTAGAAATATTGATTATATATCTTTGCTGCAATGTTACATGTTTGTCTTTAATCTTAATTTGTAAAATGTAAGAGCCAATAAAAAAAAAAAAAAAAAGACGTTCTACATCCATTGTAAATTGTCGTCAGACGCATTGTGACGTCAGTTATGAAGCTCCATGCGGGTCACGTGGAAGCAGTATATTGATGATGTGTGGTTGGTAAATTTTTAATATATGGTGGGTAGGTCACGTGGAGGGGGCACATAAGCAATGTGAGGTGGGTAGACAGCATAACATCGTTTCATGCAGTATTGCTCTCGGCCATTGAAATTTCACGATTTTTAACAGAGGCAGGATAATCAGATTTATAGCGAGCGAAGCGAGCTTCACAAAGCGAAGCTCGTAACTGCGAGCTCCAATGACAATGCCTGGGCGAAGAGAAAATTTGGACTACTGCACATTCATTCTTTAAAATTTTTTGCTGCAGTAATTTTGACCCACAATGCATCACTTAGCAAAGTTGTGTTCTCGCGAGAATGACGGCAAATGTTCAAAAGTTTACTCGCCTTGATTAAATGGATACATATTGAAGATAAATTGTAAACGTAACTTTTTTCATTAACTTTCAGCACTGTTCAGTTTTTTTTTTGGTATTTGTAACTTACATACGACGTCATGTGACGTCAGAGTCTAGACGCACCAAATGTCATGTGCGGTTTGACGAGCCCGATCTAGATTAAAACAATAGAAGAGTTTCCCAGCGCTCACTCTAACGGTCGCACCATCAACATATTAAGAGTGCTACTGGTAAATCATTTCACTACATTCCTATTTATGTATTGGGACCTGTTTCCCTTAAAACATGCAACTCTCGAATCTGGTATTTGCTCTTGTTATTCACTCAAAAATAGGATTCACCAAAAATAGTAGTGTGACAACACATACCCCAGGTCTGGTACAATCACTAGATTTAGCTACGTAGGTAGAATTACTTACGTAGCTTTATTTACCTACCTCAGGTAGCTTTATTTAGCTATTTCAAGGTAAGTTTTCAAAAGTTAAATTCTATTTATTAAAAAGAGACAAAAAGTCGCAATTAAATGACTATTGATATTTTTAATTGCGAGGCTTTAAAAAACAATTCAAAGCAGAGATAGTTTATACATTGCTGCGTTTGGACAATTTAGAGCAAAACATGTAATTCCATTGTTTGGTTATCTGACCATACGGTGAGGTGCGGTGAGGCATGACTGAGTATGATTACTTCACATTGTGCTAAATAATTACCGACCTATTATCGTGTTAACCGGAACTGGACTTCTTTGTCATTTCATTCAAGGAGTAACTGTTCTAACTGTTATACATAGCCCCAAAACTTTCAGAACTTTGATTGCAATTGCGCAGAAAAAGATATTTTTTCAAGAGGGATTTTTTCATGAGTTGTTTTCAGATGAGTTCAAAGTTGAAAATGATCACTGCATCAAAATGATATTGTCTGCACACCCTTAGAAAAATGCTTTTTCATAGAAATAGATCAATTTGGTAGCTAAATAAAGCTACCTCAGGTAGGTAAATAAAGCTATGTAGGTAAATCAAGCTACGTAGCTAAATCTAGTGATTGTACCAGACCTGGTACCCTAGTCAGATACAAGTTTTTTTTTTAAAAGCTTACAAACAAGAAAAACGTCTAAATATTACAGAATGAAACATGATACCAAAAGAGTCTTTTACCATAAAAAAGAACGGTTAAATGTTCAAACGTTACGGTTACATGTCAATCAAGCTTTCTTTTTCATGTTTACAAATGACATTTTCAACCGGAAGTGAAGAGGTGGCATATACCGGTAATGAAGAAGTTGCACAAATTTGTTTCGTATTTTTGTAAAATTAAAGATGACAATTAGTAGCCAATTTCATATATTCTGTAAGCAATAAAAAAAAGTAACCAAAAAAATATTGCAGCTGTTAAGAAAAATGAGCAGGGGGCTACTTAATCAATAAATTGATTGTAAATCACTTGCTCGAATATCGGAAGTACGAGCTATCATAAAACTTAATACATGTGTCCCAACAGATGAGCAGTGTAGACTGTTTTTCTAGAATTCTTTGATATTGTAAAGGTATTTAGCCATGATTTTGTAGTTCCATACATCTAAAGAATTGTCACAGTTTGTTCCAATTGTATGATTAATTTTAGTTTAGTTTATTATTAACAAATATACCTGTTAGAGACAAGGAACTTCAGGCTTAGCTCATTCAGTCATTGAGTAATCATTAAGGAGTCGCATTGTATTACTAGTAATTTTAATTATTTATGATATACACACTTTTCTTGTCTGTTTTTAACTTCTGTTTAAGATCTATCTCCTTTTATAGTGAATCCATCATGGAGAAAGTAAGCAAGGATGCCCGCTTCTCACACATCACTAAAGATCTACGATTTCGGAGGATGTCAAAAAACACACAGAAAGTTAAAATTGACAAACGCTTTAAAGACATGTTTACAGACAAACGCTTTAAGCTGAAGTATTCTGTGGATAAGAGAGGAAAACCAATGAATACAACAACTAACGAGAACCTGAAGAATTATTATGAGTTGTCAGACAGTGATGACAGTGACGATGACAATGAAGACAACAGCGAAGATGACAGTGAAGATGACAGTGAAGGCGATGTTAAGGCAGCAGAGAAATCAGGCAATCAAGCAAGGTCTAAAACTAAAGAAACAACAAAATTACTAAAGGACAATTTTAAGAAAGGCTTGAATAGCGATTCCGTGAAAAAAGAAAGTGTGTCTGGTAAAAAGAAGAATAAACAAAAAGTGACAGATTCAGGGAAGAAGAAAAAGAAAACAAAGGAAGTCAGAAGTGATTCAGAAAAAGAGGATGTTATAGATCAAAACTCTAAAAAGACCTCAAAGAAAAAAGTCATGAAAGATAGGAAGAAAGCAGAAATTAAGGTTGAAAATTATTATTGTGTTTAATGTGTATGAGAGTGTCTTCAACTCATGACTTTAATTAAATTCATCATTACTTCTTATTAACATGTTCTTTCAATTTTAAAATACATGTATGAATTCATGAATCATTCATGACAATGATATGTAAGCTACAGAGAATCATGCATACTGAAAATTTAAAACCAACTAATATTTCTGTTTGGATGATTCAATGATGGTAGCAACAAATTTTATTTTATTTATAAATTTTACAACTCCAATTAAGTAAAATATACATACATTTAGAGATTTGTAATGCTAGCTTCATTCCTGTTTGGCTGTCAGACAGGTTCAATCACTCATGGCTACATAGCTGAGTTGGCAGAGCCCATGACTAGTGATTTCAGGGTTCCTACTTGGTACAAATCCTGGTTTGATCCATCACAATTTTCTCTTTCTTGTCTCAAGGTGATGGACTGTACCAGGATTCAAACCTGAGCCTGTAAAATCACTAGTAAAGTGCACCTTCCACTCTGCTGTCTTGCCAGGGCTTGATGGGACTCCCAATTTTGGAAAACTTAGTCTAGCTTATGTAAAATCAGACCCTCACTAGCTCTTGAAGTCTTCTGTGCTTGAATAACATAGAATCTAATGAATTATTCTAGCTTAAATTTGTATTCCTAAGGTGACAGAGGAGGATGATTCTTCTTCTGATGAGGAGGAGGACCAGAGAGAGGAGGAAATCGCATCTGAGGAAAACTCGGAGGATGAAGACTCAGGTGAGAGACCTAGAGGAACAGAATGTCAGATGAGTAGGGGAAGAGAGGGATTGATTTGTTGCGTTTCTTTGATTATACTGAATGAACTACAGCATAATGTGAAATTTTTACAGAGGAGCAAAAATGACGGATGAGTTGGAGGAGGGGGAGTGTTTGATTTCTTCATGTTACTCTGTTGCTGTTTTTCATTGGTCATGCTGAATGAATTTATGTACATTGATTGCAACATGCTATGACATTTTTAACCAATAGATGATGCATTAGAAGGAAAGCATTGTCCGAAATTTAGATTAGACCTACTGTTCTGATTTGTGACAGGTTTAGTTATACTGTTCTGACTTATGACAGGTTTAGGGGAAGGCCCTGATCTGGCTCGAGGAGAAGGTAACGTGGAGACGTCGTCATCCGAGGAAGATGATGAAAGTGAAGAGGAAGAAGAAAATCAGGGTAAGGAGTGGGGGAGATGTCTTTAATTATATTCCTTCTGCAATCAGAAAGAACTATAGATGTAATAAAAAATCTCTATGTTCAAATGCTAAATATTATAATTTCCACCCCTCACAAGTTAACATTAAAAAGAAAAAATGTCACCTTCATTTATTCTGAGCTTAGTTATACCATGGTAAAATATCCATACATTAAATTAAAACAGAGAATGATGATTAATGTCTTTTATTTTAACAGAAGAGTTTGACCACGGTTGGGGGGAGCTGGATAAAGACGTTGACAGGACAGAGGAGCTAGGACACCGACTGGCTGTGTGTAACATGGACTGGGACAGAATCAAGGCCCAGGACATCTTCGTTTTACTGCATTCATTTGTACCAACAGGAGGCAGCATCAGATCAGTCAAGGTGGGCAGATCTTGTCTAGAAAATCATAAAGCGTTTGTCATGAAATAAAGGGATAATGAACAGTAATCAATCACCATTAAAACAATACATATCAGGAGAAGAGCTGATGTGGACCTCTAAAACATTACAGGTGGGATCAGGTGCCATTGAGGAGCCATGTAACTCAAAAATGTTCATGTATTTGTATCATTGAGAGGTACTGTTTTGCATGTTATTAAAGTTTATTCTGTTTTAATTGTATCTCAATTAAATGAAAGAAATTGGCCTTGGCAGGTTTATCCCTCAGAGTTTGGTCTACAAAGGATGAAGGAGGAGGCATTGTCAGGGCCGACAGAACTGGTCCAGGACAAACGAGAGAATCCTCCCGAAGCAGAGGGGGAGGAGGAGGATTATGAGGAGAGTCAGGGTAAGTCATCAATAAGTCTTAAATAATTCAAAAATAAGTCATCTCAAGTCAAAAATAAGTCAACTCAAGTCATAAAGAAGTCATAGGTAAGTCATCTCAAGTCATAAATAATCATCTAAAGTCAAGTTTAAGTTATCCAAGTCATAAAGTCATAAAGATATGATTAAGTCATCTTTAGTCATACACAAGTCAAGTCATAAATAAGAAATCTTTAGTCATAATAAGTCATCCTAAGTCATCTTCAGTCATAAATAACATCTGTTTACTTTTGTGTCTTTTCAGGAACCCGTTACCATAGGGAGAAATTACGTCGTTATCAACTCAATCGACTGAAGTATTACTACGCTGTGGTGGAGACAGACTGTATAGAGACGGCCAGTAAGATTTATGAGGAGTGTGACGGAATGGAATACGAGTCCAGCTCAACTAAACTAGATCTAAGGTCAGTGTGTGCTATAATGTGGAATACAAATCACATACTGGATACAATGTTTGTCATCAATTTGTCTTTCTTTCTTGCTCTGTATTGACCATGTAGTAGAAATGACCCTACTTAGATAAGAAAGAAACCATGAGAGATTTTTAAAATATTTGCATATATATATTGGGGTTAAGAAGTAATTTCCAAAAGAGTAAGATGAATTTTCAAAAGATCTTCCTGCAAACAAAAAAAGCATGCTTCACCTAGATGGTATGAGGTCATAATCAAGTCATTTTTTCACAAAATGCATTACAGGGAAATGATTTTAAAATGTTTCTGCATGACTACATGCATATTATATATTACATGTAGTAACATATTGCATGATGTATACATTTGACAGATTTATACCAGATGACATGGAGTTTACAGAGGAATCTAAGTCCGTGTGTACTGAGATGCCTGCTGCCTACAATCCCTCATTGTTTGTGTCAACTGCCCTGGCCCAGTCAAAGGTCAGCTCTTTATGTGTCAGGTCAAAGGTCACACATTAATGTGACAGGTCAAAGGTCAAACTTAAATGTATCGGATCAATATCTAAAACAGTATGAAATGATCTTATAGTTTATATATCTAGATTTCTTTGATCAGGTGTGATAAATTTCAAATAAAACATAGGTGAATTTAACTTGGGATGAAACAGACCAGGACCGAATCAAAGTGACCATGAATAACTTGTCACAAAGGAAGAAGACGGATGATGTCAATGAGGAGGACTTCCGGGCTTATCTGGCGTCCAGCTCCGAGGAAGAGGAAGATAATGGTACAGCTCAGCTGATTTTACACCAATATAGATAAAAGTCAGCAAAATATACAATATATATAATAGAAATGTTAAGAAAATTACTGTTGCAACTTTCCTTATAATGGAAACAACAAAGAAATTTAACTTCATGTTTAGGGAATTTACTTTTTGCATAATTCATACACATGTAGCCTTTATATAATTTTTTTTACTGTAAAGACATATTGTAAAACATACTAACACCATGATTAACATTTCAAAATAAATGGCTGGCTTCAATTTTCCTGACATTTTTTTTCTATATTTTAGATGAAGATCGTCCTGTTGATGATGATGACAATGATAATGAAGATGACAATGAGGAGAGACAGATACAGAAATATCGCAGTCTACTCCAGTCGTTAGATGATGATAAAGACCAGAAGAAAAAGAAAGAGGTCGAAATGGAGGTCACATGGGAACCAGGTATCCATAGCAACCAAAAAAGATCAAACTTGGTCATTATTTGTTGAATTGTAGGGGGTGGGAAATGTAATAGTTAAGACAGAATTATAATTATATTGGTCATTCATCCTGTATGTTGCATGCTGATTTATTTATCTTCAGGGTAAAGTTTTTCAACAAATGATTTGCCTAAATTGTTCTTTTGGCATGGATAACATGTTTTACTTTTAAATCTTTATCCAGATGTCGACATTGTAGTGCATAGCCCTTGAGCATTGACAACTTATTCCTCTAAATTAATTATCTTCGAAAGGTTTAAAAGAGACAACAGAGAAGATTGTGAAACACAAGGAAAAGATGAAAGTTCAGACTCCATGGGACCAGTATCTGATGAAGAAAAAAGAGAAGAGACAGAGAAAGAGAGAAGAAAGATTGAACAGAAAAGTAAGAGAGAGAGAGAAGAAAGAATGTACAGAAAAGTAAGAGAGAGAGAGAAGAAAGAATGTACAGAAAAGTAAGAGAGAGAGAATGAAGAGAAAAGTAAGTGAGAGAGAGAAGAAAGAATGTACAGAAAAGTAAGAGAGAGAGAGAATGAAGAGAAAAGTAAGTGAGAGAGAGAAGAAAGAATGAACAGAAAAGTAAGAGAGAGATATGAAAGGGAGAAAATGCTTCACAATGAAAGAATATTCCATAAAACATCTCTCTTTGCCTGTTGTGTAAATCTTTATGCAATCTAAATCTTCAAGTGTAGTCAGTATGTATTCATGAGAATAGTCCCTCTACATATTAACATCTCTTTCTTCTGATGTTGATCAGATGACAAGTGATAAAAAACCCGAGGAGAAGGCAGCCTTCAGTGATGACGATCTACCCACTGGGGTAGACGAGGATCCATTCTTCAATCAGAATCTGAACAGTGATGAGGAAGTAGAGAGAAAGCCAAAAGGTAGATGTACCGGTATAAGAATAATCCATGAATGGTATGATATCTTAGATTAAAAAGAAAGTGGATATAAATTGGACATACACCTCAGGATATAATCTACAGATAAATTTGTCTCAGAGATGTATACATTAAACTTAAATTGAGACATGACAAGCAAATGTAATTTTTATGCCCCCTTCTCTCCTTGGAAGAAAGGAGGGCACATTGCGTTGCTTCTGTCTGTCTGTTGGTCCACCAACAGTTTCAATTTATTTTATTCACAAAGGTTGCACATACTGAAATGCTATTTGGTATACAGATATATTATAAGAATATCTGGATCAAGTTTTGTTTTGGGTATATTCCAAGGGATGTGGAGGATATGTGTATCACAATTATATCTTGTTAATATTTAGACTGGCATTAAGTATTAAAAGGTTTTTTTACAAATGATGATCTGATGAATGTGTGTGTGATTATATGAGGAAAATAACATATTTTAAACATATCACTTTACTAGCTGAGTCAAAGAAGACAAAGAAGAAAAAAAGGAAGGAGAAAACATCAAAGTCAATGACTAAAGATGGAGAGGTAGGGTTCCAATGATACGTTTAATGTGATAGCTACATAATGTACATGTAGGAAGATGTTGTAAAAAAGAATGTTGATAACCTTAGAGTAGTGTTGAATCAGGGGAAAACAAGCAAATTCAAAGAATTTGGTCCCCGGCTTTTGGTGTCTTGTGGGTAAAATGTCATTTTTTATGGCTTATTGTTTCAAATTTGATTACCCTTTCATATGTCATTCAGAAGTTATCACCGAAGTTGATTAAAAAAATACTAGGTCAATTGTGAAGGTCAAGGTCAAGAGATAAGAAATTGTAGCATCCTGGGAGATATCTTGTCACAGGAAATTCACATGTCAAATATGAAAGCCCTGTCTCTTCTCAATCAAAAGCTTATAAGGAAAAATCTACATATTTTGAAAATTAGGTCAAACTTCAAAGACAAGGTCACAGGTGTAGTTAGAAAGGTCTTGTCACCAGCAATACACAAGTTTAATTTGAAAGCCCTATGTTTTCTCATTCATTAGCAAGGTTTAAGATTTTGAAAAGTAGGTCATACTTCAAGGTCAGGGTCACGAGATCAACAAATCAAAGTGTGTTTAGAAAGGTCTTGTCACAGTTGATATACAAGTTTAATTTACGTGTAAAAGCTCTGTAAAAATCTCCTCTCATTCAAAAGTTATAGCCAGTTTTAAGTCTTTAATTTTTTAAAGAAGTAGGTCAAACTTCAAGGGGTCAAAAATCATAGTATATTTAGAAAGAAATTGACAAATGTAGTAGAAAGGTCTAATAAGAAAGCCCTTTCTTTTCTCATTCAAAAGTCAAGAGCAAGGTTTTAGTTTTAGAAAAGTAATTTAAACTTCAAGGTCAGGGTCAGGAGAAAAACAAATCATAGTATTTACAAAGGTCTTGTTACTGGTAATATACATAAAAAGTTGTTCTTCAAAGAAATACAGTCAAGAAACAGACATAAGTAAACATTTGTATTTGAATATTTCAGGGTGAACTGGAACTTCTGATGATGGATGAAGAAATTGACAACAGAAAACATTTCAATCTGAAGTCAATCATGAAAAACTCAAACAAAAAGAAGAAATTATCAGGGGATCAGAAACCAGAGGGAGATTTTCAGGTATCAATCCCCCCTCTTTTGTTGATATAGATTTATTGATTTGTATGTAGTCCTAATAACATACTCCATTTCAAACTTTTCGGATGAATTTCATGATAATAAAAATTTCAATAAATTTCTTAGATATATTTGAATGATTTTTAGGTAAATTCTGAAGACAATCAGTTTCACATTGATTTCATAGATATTTTATCAATTTCAGATGAATGTGAAGGATGACAGATTTACCGCCATTTTTGATTCCCATCTATACAACATTGATCCATCGGCACCAGAATTTAAAAAGACTAAATCAATGGAGGCCATTATTGAAGAGAAACTGAAACGAAGGACATCAGAAAAAACGCAGAAAACTGTCAGTGGACAAAAACGGAAATCAGAGAGTAACAGTATTTACACTGGACACTCGGGGAAATCTGGGAAGGCAGACTCAGACAGCATATCATCTCTTATTCACTCTGTTAAATCTAAAACACTGACATTTCAGAACAAGAAGAGGAAAAAATAAGAGAAATTTTTGGAGAATTTGCGTAAACAAATTTTTGACGGAATCTAATCATTAATAAATATTAAAGAAAAAATTGTCTTTATCTTTATAAATCTAAAAATATAGTGCAGAGAAACAATTAACGTTCCAGTGCATTACTTGATACATTCCTTGGCTGTTGGTCAGTCAGTCAGTAAACCAAGTGAAATGCTTTCTGGCTAATATGTGTTCTAAATCTTTTAAATATTTCAAAAGCTATTTTGTATTTTCCAAGTGAAAACTTCTTGTACAATTGGTTTTCTCAAATGAGCCAATCATGAAGTTTCTGTTTTTATATTTATTCTTCTTTGCACTATCGTTGAGTTAATGAAAATATTTTAATTGACAAATTTAAAGTGCAACCATGCATAAAAATATCAATTTGTTTATTGGAATGAATCATCAATTTTTGTAGACTGTTTCAAATGAGTTCACTTCAGATACTTAATTTTCTTCACATGTCTGTATTCCCACTGAGCAACAAGGAGATTGTCATTTGTATCTGTACACAATACCCAGGGATCACTCAGTCCACAGTGTATGTAACGGAGGAACTGTCCATCCTGGTCTATGATATGGACACAGTCATTGTTATTATCAGCTGTAAGGATGCGACTCTGACTGTCTGTGGTGATTCCTCGTGGTTGGAATGATTTGTTCTCTCTGGAGAGTGACAATATTAACACGGACACTTGGGAAAATCTGGGAAGCCAGATACAGAGAGTATATCTCTTATTCACTCTGTGAAATCTAAAACACAGACATTTCGGAACAAGAAGAGGAAAAAATGAATGAGAAAGTATTAATTTTATCTGATATTTATTGATAATGAAAATAAAGTGATAGGAGGTGAAGTTCTTGTCTTCTTCAAATGTAAAGACTCATCTTAAAATGCAAAATGTAACAACACTTTTCACATGTTGTTATACTTCAACAGCTGAAGAACTAGTTGTTAAAATGGAAAACAATATTATGAAATAATAAATAATGAACCATTTACTTTTAAAAACGTTTATTCTCCTTGGTACTGGCGTCTGACATGTTTACATTTTACAAACTTTAAACAAATCTATGTTGGTCAAGAGGGAAAACCCGAATAAACCCCCCAGAACGTCATATGAGGTGAACTAATTCTGAGATACATCTCATGAAAAGGCATCTAGACAAATCAGAGCGCACCAAATTTCCTGATCATTTAATAAAACATAATACGTTCTTGACTTTTGCTTAATCTCGACGCAAATTGTAATAATGCAGAATGTAATGATCTAAAAATGGCGTTATTACATTTTGCGTTGATCTCAATGCAAAATGTAAAAATCCTAGAAGGTGTGTTGATACGTTTTGCGTTATTACATTTTGTGCTGATTTCGTCGATAATTATTCTTTCTTTATAACATTTTGCGTTGTTATTACATATCGCATTGTAATATAGCATTTAAACTTGAAACTTTGCAACAGTAATAAATTTTAAAAATGATCATTTTATTAGCTTAATTGATCAAATTTTGTCCGTCCGTCTGTCTAGCTGTCTGTCTGTAAACGTTTCACATTTTCGACTTTTTCATTGGGCAAATTTCAACCAAACTTGCCACAAATAAAAATGGGTGAAGAGGATTAAATTTTTTCAAATGAAGAGACGCCTTCTTTAAAGAGGATAATTCCGAACAAGTAAAAAAAATAATGGTATCTTTTAAAATTCTTTTTCTCAATAACCACTGGGCACGGAAAGATGAAACTTATGTGGAAACATCCCCAGGTTGTTTTGATTCAAGTTTGTTCAAATGATGACCTCTTGGGGTGGGACGGGGCCACAATGGGGGATTAAATTTTTACATAGAAATATGTAGGAAAATATTGTCAAAAATTTTCCTCTCGAGAACAGAAAAGCCATGATTGGTCATATTTATATGGAATCATCCTCAGATATTGTAGATTAGAGTTTGTTCAAATCATGACCCATGGGATGTATAACAGGGCCACAATGGAGGATCAAAGTTTTACATAGAAATGTATAGGAGAATATCCTGAACAATCTTCTCAAGAACAACAAGAGCATCCTCAGGTAGTATAGATTTAAGTTTGTTCAAAACATGACCCCCCATCCACCCCCGGGGTAAGAGGCCACAATGGGGGATAAAGGAAGATATAGGGAAAAAAAGTCTTTTCCCAAGAACAGTTAAGTCATGATTAGTTATATCAGTATTTTTATGGAGGCATCCTCAGGTAGTGTAGAATCAAATTAGTTTAAATGAGGGCCCATGGGGGTAGGGCTTTTCCACAATGGGGGGTCCATTTTTTTAAATGAATAAAAAGGATAAGTCATTAATTGTTATATGAATATTGAAGCATCGTCAGATAGTTTAATATTCAATTCACCCACCCACCACCCTTCTCACTAGTAAACTTTTCGATACTGAACTGAATTTTTCTTAGTTTTTTCCCTAGCCAGTTTGCTCAGGTGAGCGATGTGGCTCATGGGCCTCTTGTAAGCTTAACTGGGCTGAAAGATCATTGATAATTAGCTTTTCTGATGACATATTGTCTGTCGTCCGTCTAGCTGTGCGTCCGTCCATCTGTCTTGTAAACTTTTCACATTTTCAATTTCTTCTCAAGAATCACTGGGCTAATTTTAATCTAACTTGGTACAAAGCATCCTTGGGTGGAGGAGAGTTTAATTGTTAAAATAAAAGGGCAAAGTCCCATTCCAAGGGAAGATAATGAAGAAAAGACAAAAATAGGGTGGGGTCATTAAAAATCTTCATCTTAAGAACCACTGGGCCAGAAAAGCTGAAACTTTCGAGGAAGCATCCTTAGATAGTATTAATTCTTAATTGTATAAACCATGACCCCTGGGGAAGGAGCGTGGCCACAATGGGGAATCCAAGTTTTACATAAAAATATATAGGAAAAAAAACTTTACTTTCTTTTCAAGAACTACTGGGCCAGAAAAGCTTAAACTTATGTGGAAGCATCATGACTTGTGTAGATTCTAAATTGTTCAAATCAAGACCCCCGGAACTAGGGTGGGGTAATAATTGTCAATAGGTATTACAATGAAAAAAATCTGGTAAAAAATGACATGGCCAAAGTTACTCGGGTGAGTGATGTGGCCCCTGGGACTCTTGCTCATGACAAGTTTTTTTGCAATCGGACCTAAACTGTAAGAGTTATAGAATTTTAAAAAATATTTCAAAGAAATTTGTATTTTTCAGTAACCATGGCAATGCCGTTCATTGAAATCAAAAATCGATATACGGTATCGCGCATGCATATGTATTCGCGAAAGCAAGGGGGCATTAAATCTCATTCGTCTGTTTGTCTGTCTGTTTGTCCAGCTGTCCGTCCGTCACACAAACTTTAACTCTGCCCATAACTTTTGGTTTAGTGGACTTTCATATTTCAAATGTGTATTCTATGTGACAAGACCTTTCTTTGGGTAACACCAAATTTGACCTTTTGACCTTGATCTTGGACTTTTAACTATTTTTAAAAAACTTTAACCTTGGTTACAGCTTTTGAACGATGGATACTAGGACTTTCATATTTCACATATATTCTTTGTGGCAAGACCTTTCATTGGATACCAACATCTTTGACCTTGCCATTGGAGGTTTACGTACTTATGAAGAAACCTTAACGTTGACCATAACTTTCGAACGGTAAGGGCTATGGCTTTCATACTTCACATATGAAAATAACATCTCACCAACAAAGTCACCGAAAGCGGGGGACCACAAATCTTTGAATTTGCTTGTAATGGTTGACTTGTGTGCCAATTTATACTGTAGATCACTAAATTTTCGTGTCATCTTTTTTTCACGTGATATTCATTGACTCTTTATAAGCGAGACAAAATTTTCACGAATTATGGTAATTCCTTTATATAATCTTAAAAAATATTAATATACGCGAGAATACATTTTCGCGAGCACATTGTCTCGCCTAATCTTAAGAAAATAAAGTTCTTAGGTATAAAAAGCGATTTACAGTATTGATTTAAGACCAAAACTTTAGTAGTATTTTTAGCTCACCTGAACCGAAGGCTAAAGTGAGCTTTTCTGATCAAAATTTGTCCGTTGTCTGTCGTTGTCGTCATAGTCATTGTCGTTGTAAACTTTTCACATTTTCATCTTCTTCTCAAGAACCACTGGGCCAATTTCAACCAAACTTGTTATAAAGTATCATTTGGTAAAGGGGATTCAAGTTTATTCAAATGAAGCGCCACGATCTGAAGGGGAGATAATTATGAATAAGAGTAAAATAAATGGCATTTTTTAAAAATCTTCTTCTCAAGAACCACTGGACCAGATAAGATGAAACTCAGGTGGATTCATCCTCATGTAGTGTAGATTCAAGTTTGTTCAAATCATGACCTCCGGGGGTAGGGTGAGGCCAAAATGGCCGATCAAAGTTTAATATAGGAATATATAGGAAAAATCTTTAAAAATCTTCTTCTCAAGAACCACTGGACCAGGAAAGATGAAACTCATGTGGAATCATCCTCAGGTTGTGTTGATTCAAGTTTGTTAAATTCATGACCCCAGGGATAGGGTGGGGCCAATATGGCCGATCAAAGTTTTACATACGAGTATATAGAAAAAAAAATCTTTAAAAAATCATCTCAAAAACCACCGGGCCAAGAAAGATGAAACTCAGGTAGAATCATCTTCATGTAATGTGGATCCAAGTTTGTTCAAATCATGACACCTGGGGGTAGGGTGGGAGCAAACTGGCCGATCAAATTTTTACAAAGGAATATATAGGAAAAATCTTTAAAAATCTTCTTCTCAAGAACCACTGGACCAGAAAAGATGAAACTCAGGTGGAATCATCTTCATGTAGTGTTGGGGGGGGGGGGGGTAGGGTAGGACCAAACTGGCCGACCAAAGTTTTACATAGGAATATATAGGGGAACCTTTTCAAATCTTCTTTTCAAGTACTTCAAAGCCATGATCAGTAATATTTATATGGAATTATCATCAGGTAATGTAGATTCTAGTTCGTTCAAATCATGATCCCCTGGGGTGTTAAAATTCAACCCCCCCAACCTCTGACCTGATATGTGTCTTTTCCTAGCTGATGTGCTCAGGTGAGCAAAGAAATTACTAATTTTAGTAACCATGGCAATTCCGTTTATTGAAATCAAAAATTGATACCAAGAATCGTGTATTTTAGTGTAGTCTACTTGTGCGCCAAGTTATATTGAAATCAGACCAAAACCGTAGAAGGAGTAGCATTTTGAAAGTATTTTAAAGGAATTTCGGATTTTAGTAACCATGACAACTCTTCATCGAAATCATATTAGGTATCAGAGTAGGAAAGACCATGTACAAGAACTTTTCAAGATTTTATGGTATTGTAAATGTGCATGCATCTGATATAGAATGGGCTTCACAGTCATGTCAATGATTTCTCACTTTTGAACTTTGTAATGGTCACCACAATTGTATAGTACATAACGCACAATTTCCTTTGATATACAAGAACGATAACTGTCTAGAAAACTATAGCGTACACTTTAAATATTTAATTTTCTTCACTTGTCTGTTTCTATTTTGAGAAACTAATAAATTGTCATTTGTATCTATACACAGTCCCCAGGGATAACTTACACAGTCTATGTAACGGAGGAACTGTCCATTCTGGTCTACGATGTGGACACAATGATTGTTAAAATCAGCTGTAAGGATATGACGCTGACTGTCTGTGGTAATATCTCGTGGATTAAATGGTTTGTTCTTTGGAGCAGGAGTATGTCCAGTGTACCTGAATCTCAGTTTTCCTGCCAGATTGACCACCACTACTTCATTCGATCCAATGTCAGACACACAGATATCCTGGTTCTTGTTTTCAGTTAGAAATCTGAAATAATTCCCAGATGAATATAGAGGTTTGCCCGTATCATCAAACTGAATGGTATGTTTCTCTGTGGAGCCAGAGTAACGGACAACTTTTGTTTGTTTATTATCATCACTGTTCATGATAACCAGGAGGTCACCAGAGCAGGAACTACAGACACCACAAGGTTTCCAGTTCTGAAGTCTGATCACCCGGCCTCTTTTTCTTTGCATTCTTCATAATGTTTACAGTTCTATCAATGTTATCAGTATAAACTAGATCTCCACCTTTCGACACTGCTATGTCAATTGGTATGTACCCTGACCTAGTTTGGATCGACTTGAGTAGTAATCCCTGATTGATGCTGAAGAGTTTCATGGTCCTGCCATCTCCACTTGTCCAGATTTCTTCATCACTCAAATAGGCCACACTGCTAACTTCTCCATACCCAGTGTCTATGATGGTGACAGTCTCTGGTTCATCAAGCAGCTGTTTTACTGGAAGAGAGAATCCAGTGTCTTGTAAAGGAGACATTTCATCTATCAATCCCTTCGCTGTTTTTATGCTGTAACCATGGTTATCGGCTGTTATTGTTGGTGGTATTATTTTTCCACACATTTTCGAGATTTGTTCCTGCATTGCAATTTGAGAGGAGAATTGTGCATTGCTTACATTAAGTTTAGAAGGAAGCATTCTATACTTCTTTGAGTCCAGTTGGAGGTATAAGATTTTGAATACATCATGAGAATCTATTAATTTACGCAGAGATTTAATATCGTCATTTATGTTTGAGATGCATGTCTCCACATTTGATAAATGTGCTCTTAGAGTTTCAGTATATTTGTTCTTCATCTCATCAAGTTCAGCTCTAAGTTTCTTGACAAGTTTGTCAATTTCTCTGTGCCAGTCCTGACCATGTTTTGTTATGGCTGCTGAGATTTCTTCGTGTTTCAAATCTAGTTGACTCAGTGTATTTTGTACATCTGCTACTATGTCCAAGTAGGTTGGGTAAATGGAATCCTCCAATACATTGATTTCTTTTTGGACTGCTTCCTTCTTCTTGTCAAAGTTGTCTTTTAGTAAGTGGATGTCATGTTGCCTGTGTAGTTTGGAGGCGATACAGACGGAGCAAATCGGTATATTGCATTCCCTACAATGCAACTCACAACTTTTATCAGTGTGCGTTATACATCTATGGTAAGGGAGAGTGGATTTCCTGGTCTGAAAATTGACGATTTTATGGTCCTTGGATTCATCTGTTGAGATGTGTTCTCCCACGCAGGCCTTACACAGGTTGACAAGACACGTATCACAGTGCATCTGTACCAAAGCTGTCTCACACAGGTCACATCGCATCACGTCCTGGGCACTGGTACACGGGTCCATGATTATGAAATAGTGCCCTGAATTAAAGAAAAGAAACATCAAGCTTACAACTGATTAAAAGTTTTCATTTTTTCAGAACAAGAAACTTGTTCTTTTCATACACAATTCTCCTCTTATATGCTGCATTACGCTATTGCAGCGGGGAAAAGGGGGAGGCAATATGTGTTATAAAATTCCACAGCGACAATATGTATCGATGGATGACAATCTGTTGAAGTAAGAGTAGGGGATTATCGCAGCCAACGATAATCAGATCATCTGTTTGAACCATCACAGAGAGGTATAATTGGAAACCTCAGAAGACCATGTTTGACTTTGCAAACCAAATGTTGAAGTACAATACGCATGTAGCTATGGAAAAAAGTAGTTTGTTTATTAATCGAATTACAGTTATCAATATAAACTTAAAAAAGATCTAAATTTTATATCAAATCCTTAAATTAATTCAACCATTTACCTTATTATCAGTAATGGCGGCCGTATGTACTGTCAGATCGAACTGGTTGTCTATCTAATGTTTATTTATAACCTCGCCTGGAAGATTATTTACCGAATGGAAAATTCAAGGTGAGGTCAGTCACAGTGTATCAGTAGGCTTTTCAACTAATTTTTCAAGTTGAACATATGGCTAAAACTTTTCAGAGATTGATTTAAAGGTACATATGAAATTATCAAAAAAGGTAATAACTTATGCAAACCTTAAATGAAATCATTAAAAAGTTTAATTATTTATAGTTGACTACTTCGATGTTGTGTTTTTAGGACAGGAAACTCAATTGTGTAAACTTACCAACTAAGTGCCGATTTATGAGTTATCGTTTATAAATAGGGATGACATATAGGCTGCTGCAGCATTGGTATTGTTATGTACATTAAAGGGTAACCGCGTTTATGTACACAAAAAGGTTCTTTCCATTGTTTTGTAGACCAAAGGGTTGACCTAAAGAAGGAAAATGTCTTCACTCTATACTTGAAATAACAGGGTCAAATGAATGGGGAACATATTCAACATTTTTAACTCTCTTTGACGATTGTTATGAAGAAGAAAATATAATGTCATTTTTTTTTGTTCGCACTTTTTCGCTTTCTATATAAATGTATATATTTTTACAAGTAAATGCAACAATTAATTATCTTATTTAGTATAACAATTGAATTAGGTTAGAACTAAGAAGGGGGAAGACCACTTTTTATTTTAATCAAAAATTTTACTAATATGTAATTGAACGGTATCCGCAACTATATATATACATGTAGTAAATAAATTTAACATAAGTGTTGACTTAAAAAAACTGTAATGAATCAGGGTTATTCCAATCGGTGTTACAAGGGATATTAGGTTTTTCTTAACATGGAATAATCTGTCTCCCCTACAATGAAATAGACCAGTCCTATGCTATGCAATTTATATATAGCGGGTGTTAACAGATTCAGTCTTCCAACTGAGCACTCTCTACCCAGAGTTATCGTTCCACTTATATAGCAAAGCGAACGACAACTCAGGGTAGAGATTGCCAACTGAGAATCCGCTCAGTGCATGCCCGCTTCGGCAGACCTATCTAGGAAGTGGTGAGGTAAGGGTGGTAGGATAAGTGACGACGCTGAATAAGCCGAATCACATAAAAGCTGAACACGTTTCGTAAAAGGAATCTGTCCGCCAATTTTGTTTCCGAGTCTTGCTACTCTGCAGACCCCTATAAATAGGACAAACTTAGCCACTGTTCAGTGTTATCAGTCGACACCGAAGAAGACGGACGTATGCTATACAGCACTCGGTAGCGAGAAAAATAACGTAATACTTCGTCTATTGCAGGAAAATAAGATACCAAATAAGTTTTCAATTATAGTTGTATAAGTCAGTGCAGTATACAAACACGTAACTGCAATAAAATATAAACAAAGGTAATGCAAGATAACCAGCACGAACATGGGTCGCCATTCCACGCCGACAATAAAGCAGTCAGGTGTAACGAATACGACGAGTATACCATAGTATTGATGTATCGTAGATAATGCTATCGAAAATGGCGTATGAGTCATGCTCAACTTTAAAGCTGAACACTACTCGTAAATAGGCATAGTCCGCCATATTTCCCGTTCTTCAACGCTCTCCCTACAACTCGTATATAAGGAGCAGACCGCTAGCCAGTTCAATGTATTTCACTGTAGAGATCCGACGAGTGTAGACGTATATCTTACAAAGCGTGCTACTCAATATCGATGAAATTATCAAATTTTACGCATTTTTTCCGAAACAGGTCAAAAGTATCATGGAAAATGCAGGTCAATACATTATTTACAAACAGTAAATGCACATAAAAACAAGAAATAAACGCAAAAAATCTAAGACCACGATAGGAGTACTACATGTCGGCCACGAGTTTCGAGTGTGCAATCGGGTGTAACGAAATTGAACGGTTTATATACCCGTCTGACAGTGCCTATTTATGAGAAGTGTTCAGCTTTAAGGTTACTATAGGGCTGAATAAGCCATATTGCATAGGTTGCGTCGACTGGTCGACCACTGTAGCTTTGGTATTGGAAATAAAGGCTGAATAAGCCTGCATCCTATTGCCAAAGTGAACTGGAGACGCCAGTTGACTAGAGACCTTTTGTCAAGTTACCAGGACCCTTGGATGGGCCAGTTGTCCGAGGACATTGGTTAGGGTAGGACAGATGGTCCAGAGTCAAATTGTCCCTTGATTTTGTTATGCGAATCGTAGTAGATATATTGATAGTTAAATTGTTGAAATAATCATCGTAGATATATTAATTAAGTTTGTGTCCTAGTAGACAAGAAACAAATCATTTGTCTAAATTATTGCATGCAGAAACTTCGGGTGTAACCGGGTACGTGTCCACTTGAATAGATAGACCGCTCGGCAGGGCACACGTTACAGAATTTTTGGTGGCAGCGGTGGGATTTTTGCAGTGTTAGGAAGAGGGCGTGTGTGTTTATTTTTGGTTGCATAATAAAATTTTAGGGATATCAATTTGTTGTTTATAATGTCGACTGATCAGTTAGATCGAGAACTGCCTTTTCTCAAGGAAGGAATAAGAGAGCTAGAGTCAAGTATTCGGCAGCATGAAAGTGTCATACACTCAACACCAAGGTCTCGTAGATATGAGAACCGTGGTAGATATGACTCTGGTATTGCCATTGGTCTATTGTCTGTTCCCAGGAGTCCTTTGGCTGATCATTTTCCAGATAGCGAGCCAAATAGACCGAGTACTTGCTGTCATCCCAGGGTAAGGTTTCCTGAGGAAATGGAGGCTAGAAATGATGAAACCAACAGAGAGGGCATGGCGGATAGAGTCGTTATTGGTAATGTCACATACAGGCGTTACCGTAGACCAGCTGTGCAAGATATTGCAACTAAGAAGGTGAGTAAAAGGGAAATGAAAGCCGCAGCCTACGATGGCAGTGATTCGTGGTTGGATTATAAGACTCATTTTAACACGGTCAGTAAACTCAATGAGTGATCAGAAGAAAGGCTTATTTCTCGCAGCTTCTCTTTGGGGTCAGACTCAAGGGGTTCTTGGTAACTTGCCAGGTGACAACACTGATTATCATTACCTTGTACAGGCTCTCGAGGAGCGTTTTGCACCTCCTAATCAAACTGAATTATACAGAGTTCAGCTAAGGGAGAGGCGTAAAAGAGCCACAGATACCTTACCTGAGTTGGGACAGGCTGTCATAAGATTGGCAAATTTGTCCTTTCCTAAAGCACCATCTGAACAGTAAGGGAAACCTTAGCAATGGAATAATTTCTAGATGGCTTGCCTGACTCAGACATGCCAATAAGGATCAAACAAGCGCGATCTAAAGATCTAAATTATGCCACATGGAGTAGAACTTGAGGCATATCTAAGGGCAGAGGGCAAAAGGGAATACAATTAAAGCTTATCAACATCAGATGAGGGAAGATGTAGCTACAAATAACGGAATCTTCAATATGGAACTGGATGTCGTCAATGGAGAAAAATATGGCAGCCATAAACAAGAAAATTCAAGAGCCCAGACAAGGCAGCAACATATTTATTTTGTTTTCTGATGACTCTAATTTCCATTTAAAGTTTTAAGGTTAGACTTTAGGAAAGTTTTTGGACATATCTAGTCGACAGCTGTAACTGGCAGAAAGTCAGTCCAGTAGTAGATTGGCAATGGTAGATGGGCATTTCCGGCTTTGCCCTAGGCCACTGTCTAGTTGCAGTTTGTCGGCTATCTAAAACAAGAATACCGGTATTGGGAGGAGGCATTTGAATTATCTAAGTAACAGGTATATCTTATTCAGACCAGTAAGTTTTACATCACAATGATTACAGAAACTGGATTATATCTTCATCAAATCATCTACCATATGTAGCAAATTAGCATTTCATTATGTAGGAGAATAAGTATTTAAAGATGATTGTTTCCTTGCATTATTTATTTTTTTCATTGTTATACATTTATTGGAAGAGTTTCAAGGAGTATCAACTCATATTCATTGCTTATTTTTACATTTTAATTGAGATAAATTTATATTCAAAATTTGAAAACACAAATTTCTTATAATTTGTTTATAAAATAATTTGAGTTATTACTCCTTTGTTTTGTTACCATGATTTATTATGTTCCCCAAACGAAGTTGGGGAACATATTGTTTTTACTCTGTTTCTTATTATTATTATTATTATTTTTCTTCCTGGGAAAATTTTGTCCTCGAGTGATCTTGTAAACTACACATCCGAGTAAGGTAAAATGTTTTTAGGGTCAGTAGACATGTAATGTAGATTTGCCGAACAAAGGTCATTTTGCGCGCACGTGCTTGCAAGAGCGCGCACGTGCAACACGAAAAATGACCGATTTAATTGATATCGGCGTAACTTTTTACATTTTTGATGAAATGCTTTGAAACTCATAATATAAGGATATATTAGTGGCATAGACAATAAGACATGGTCAAAATAGTAAGATCTCACGCGCATGCACGTGCGCTTCGCTCTGATTGGCTGAAACTAAAGTCTCAATATCTTTCTTGTTTTTTGATGAAATCCTTTGAAATTTTGAACATAGCCATGCATTAGGATATCCTACAAAATGGAATATGACAATTATCATCAAAACACGTGCATGCACGTGCGCTGCAATCTGATTGGCTGAAACTTTAAATAGCTATAACTCCCTTGATTTTCAACCAAACAGGATGTGATTTGGAACATAGATAGATATAATAGACTTCTACAAGAAGGTATGGTCACCATGCACATCCATACACGTGCGTGTACGCGCGCTGCAATCTGATTGGCCGAAACTTTAAATAGCTATAACTCCCTTAGTTTTCAATTAAACAGGATGAGATTTGGAACATAGATAGATATAATGGACTTCTACAAGAAGGTATGATCACCATGCACATCAATACACGTGCGTGAACGTACGCTGCAATCTGATTGGCTGAAACTTTAATCAGCTATAACTCCCTTGGTTTTCAACCAAACGGAGTGGGATTTAGAACATAGATAGATGTAATGAACTTCTACAAGAAGGTATCTGACCATGCTCATGTATGCACGTGTGTGCACGTGAAATGAGTAAAATCAAAAATACACTTGAATGAGCGTATTCTTTAATACTTTTGGATTAAATACTTTGATATTCAGTATATTAAAGTATATAGATTGTGTAGACAAGATGATATGGTCATTACGCACATGCATTCACATGCGCACGCGTGCAGTGCTAAAATTTGAGTGAACTTGGTACCCTTCTGGGTAAACGTTGTTAAAGTCTCAAATGCATAAAGTTTTTCTTATTTCATGAAGCTTACGGGGAATATGGCACCAAAAGGGAGATGGGGAGCGTTTGGGGAACATCTGTAACGGTCCCCGTTACAATTAGCACTAGTTTTTTATTTGTTCTTCAGGCCCTTTTTGAAGTTATTGAAATTGATTGCTTGATTCTTTTTGTGAAAGAGAATTTCCATATTATCAGATTGGTATGAGATATATGTCATAAATAAAACACATAATTTTCTTTAAACAAAAATCATGACTGTTACTTTAAAGTAAATATTGCATTGATATTGATATTTTTTTATATTTGAAAATATGAAGAAGAAAAAAAATCATTCAAAAAAATAAAAAAAGAGAGAAACAAAGCTAACACTGTTAAAGTAGTATTTAAAAAAAATTGTGAGTTATTCCAATAATATTGAGTATGATCATAGATCTTTATCAGAAAGAGCATATGATAATTTTCCAATGCATCCATTTTTCCAAGTGTTAGTTTTGTTTATTTTATGGGCCGAAACTGTCCTGGTGGTTTTAAATTTATGTAAATTTCTTTTTTAAATTATTAGATAAAAATTTAAAATAACATTAATTGATTCTTTTTTTATACACCAGGAAGGTATCAGGGAAATACAAAATAATTTCATTTTTAACTTCATCAGATTGATCTCTTCCCTGACTGATGAGGCCCAGAGAGACAATCTGAGGAATTGAACAAATGTGACAGTCAGGCAGATTCATTTGCTGCCAAATTGCTGGTAACTAGATACTATATTTGAAAATCTTCTCAAGAAAGATAAAACTTATGTGAAAACATCCTCAGGTGTGTACCGGTAGAGTCAAGTTTGTTTCATTCATGACCCCCATCATGGGTAGGGCGGGTCCACAATGGACGATTAAAGTTTTACATAGGAATGAATACGTCAGAAAACTCTTCTTTTTAAGAACCACAAAGTCATGATTGGTCATACTTTATGAAAGCATCTTCAGTAGTGTTGATTCAAGTTTGTCATGAACAGGAAGTAGAAATTTGGTAGGGTGGCCACTAGGGAACAAAGTTTTGCTTAGAAAAACCAATGAAATATTTTTCCCCCAGAAAAGAAAATTCATGTTTAATCATATTGACATGGAGGCAACCTCAGATAGTACAAATTCATTACTGGTTCAAATGAGGGCTCCTAGGGGTAGGGCTGGGCCACAATAGGGGGTGGGGGGTGAGGTGTAAATGAATAAATAGGAAAAAAATCATCTGCTCAAATAAGCAAAGGCATTTATTGTATTGAAGCATCATGTAGTTGGTAGCTTAAAATCTCTTATGTAAACTTCTCGATACATGTACTGGAGTGAGTGCTTTTATTTCCTAGCCAATGTGCTCAGGTGAGCTATGTGGTCCATGGGCCTCTTGTTCTCATCTCTTGTTAAATGTACATATTCAGAATTGTTTAAAAACCACAACTGTTTGTGTCAGGTTAAATACTCCTTCTTTTTTGTATTTTAAAGCAGATTTTCTTCTGACTACTGAAAATGCCTTAATTATGAGGCCCACGCCAGCGCTCAGTCCATCCTATGGTGATTAATTGTACAAGTTCTAGTACAACATACAGCCTGCAGAAGAGATAATTGGTGGAATGCAGTGCCAGTGACATACCCCTTAAAGAACAGTCATAATTTGTACATGTTGTGCATCTGAATCATTTGTCATTAGCAGGGGTTTACAAATAAATTGTGACAAAAAAGTATTAAGATATCAGAGGGTTGTGACTCCATTCTTGCTTTATGAGCCATGATTGAACTGTCTGATTATAACCGGCCGCCAGGAGGCGGTCGGTTATATGATATGAAAGTTTGAAGTTGTTGTGCGTTTCTGCGGAGTTAAACTCAAAACAGTTTAAACAAGAAAACATTGATGTAACCATCAATCGGAAAATATATAAAGTAAACTATGGAAATGACTCTTGATCATATACATGTAAGATACACATTGAACTATTTGTGCTTCAAATTGAATGTTCAAAGTGTGTGACATCAAAATAACCTTTTGAACATCCCATGTATGCTTTTTTTGTGCAACCAATGCTTACTTTGACTGAAAACAGGTGCCCCAGTAAATGAGACTTTACTCACGTCATTACCAAAATATGACCTTTGCATTCCTACATCTTTGAAAACAAAAAAAAGTCATTAATTATATCCCCACTCCAAAGGGGTTGGGGGTTAAACTGTTTTACCCTTGTGTGTTTGTCTGTCTGTTCATAACATATTTTGGGTTGCATTTTTCTCAACAACTACTCATCACAAAGGCTTTAAATTTGATCACATACTTTGCTGAGGCATGCCATATGGTAGGGTTCATTTTTGTTTACATCATACATTAACTTCCTGTTCATCTGTGCGTCTGTCCGCAACTGAACTTGACATGATCGTGTATTCTGTATACAAGGAATTTTCGCCACTGTTTTAAGGGTATTTTAACTTTTATCACCGATTATTAGCTGCAGATCTGTAGCGTTATGGTTTTATATATCTGTCTTTGACCATAACGCTACAGATCCAGATCCCTTTATGCAAAAAAGGTGCAATTTACGGCCAAGTATTTTTTGCACACTTTTAGGGACTATTTCTCCACTTACCAGCATTGGTCAATCAACTACCTTTCACTTCCCAATGTAATTCTAGACATATTTTGAGCCAATATGTACATGTATATTTTATCCACCTCTCAACAATTAATAGTTGTCTCTACAGGGAATTTTCAGCAATCTAACAAATAATTTTAATCAAGCGAATTTATCACTTGTAAAGACAACTACAAAGGGTTGGAGATGGATAAAATATACAGATTAGTTTAATAATGTGCTTAAAACTAGGGAGTGAAAGGTAGTTGATTGACCAAAGCTAGAAAGTGGAGAAACTCTCCCCAAAACAGGGATGGGGTAATCGTCTTCAGTAAATTGCACCTTTTTTGCATTATGGGATCTGTAGCGTTATGGTCAAAGACAAATCCATATAAAAACATAACGCTACAGATATGCAGCTCACTTAATATAAGAGAATTTGAAAGGAAACAAGTGTAAAGAAATATAGATTTCTTAAACAGAACTGTGATTGGGCAAATTTTAAATTAATGGGGAAAAATCGTTTGCAATTGCAAAAAGGCAAAAATAACCCTGTATATATTAACATTACATTAGGGAGAATTTATATTTGACTGATTGTTATTTATCCCGTGCTTTAATAGGTACATTTTACAATAGCCTGGTTCATGTCACAAAATTTCTGATTATTTCATCTGCAGTTTGATGTGTCAAAAGGTTTCAGCTACTTTACGTTAACCAGACCAGCAGCAATAGCCTGTTGCTATATAAAAATAGCTTTCAGTAGTGTTATATAAAGGAAAAATTTGCAAATGTAAATATATACATATAAAAATTTCCTTGATACACAAGCTAACTTATAAGAGAATGAACTAAGTAAAATTTAAAGAAATATAGATTTCATAGCAAACTGTGATTGCAAATTTTAAATTAATGGTTTCAATATTGCTTAAATTTTATAAATATTGCTGATACATTAACATTACTGATGTATTACTAGGGAGAATTGGCTTAAAGACTCTGCTCCTATTTATATGCTTTAATAGGTACCGCTTACAATAGCCTGGTTCATGTACAAAATTTCTGATTATTTCATCTGCAGTTTGATGTGTCAAAAGGTTTCAGCTACTGTTACACTTTGGGGTATCCATCAGCAATAGCCTGTTGCTATAAATACCACTGAATAAATTTGAATGAACTTTGAGAGACATCTTTATTAAAATTGCCATTGTACACAAGCAATATCTGAATTAAGTAAAATTTAATAATTGAGAGCATGGCAAACTATGCTTATCCTTGGTTTCAATATTGCTTAAGTTTTATAAATATTGCTGATCCCACCTCTGATGTTTCGGGGGTCCGTGTTTACTCTGCTCCTATTTTGTATTGTTTTATAGACTTTGATATTGAATACTGTTCGTTATCTCCATATCCTTCATATATCATTATGTCATAGTAAATATGTATCTTATTTACATAACTGAAACCTTTGGAGTAGTTATACCATATAGTATAGTATGAAATGATGATGCATTCAGCATAATACAAGTAAATTTAATAAAAGGGTTAATACATGTATAGGGCCATCATTAAAAATATTTTTGTTCGATGTACTCTGACCCATAGTTTTCAAGGTGTGTACGTATGTATTTTTTGGTTTCTTTATTTTGCTTAACAGTACTGATCAAATTGATAATAAAATTTTCAATCTAAAAGCATCTTAGAGAAATTATATACCTTCATTAATAGCTTAAAAATTAAACAATCTCAATTTCTAACATGTCTAATGAAACTATTATAGAAAAAAACTTTCAAAGTGCTGAAAAAAATATGATTGAGTAGCCTAAGGGATGAATTTCATGGGTTGGTCAGAGTACATTAAACAAATATTTTTTTAATATTGGCCTAGCTTCAAAATTCACAACAATATGATTTTTTACAGTACTTTTATTACTTTCATTTTAAAAATTAACACAGGTTATATCAGATGCCATTCCAAAATAAAGCTTTATTTTCTCTGAATCTAGAGTCATATTTGCAGATGCAGCAACTGAAGACAGTCAGAACAACACACCACTCATGTTCTCTTCAATACACTTTAGGCAAAGAAAAACAATTGGGACAATGTCCTTTTTCACCTGTGTGGTTTATTATCCCATTTACACATTGTGATGATGATATGCTTCTTGATTGTTGATGAAATCTAAGGTGTCTGCACTTATACCAGAGACTTTGTTGGACATATTGGTAGATTCCTTAAATATAAAACATAAAAATTTATAAGAAAAAAATTATTTACACTATACAATAACATATATTATACTTATATTGTAATTAAAAAGTGTGTGGAAACCTATGGCATTGTTTATATTAAGTTTTTTACATGTACAGAAACAAGATGTTTCTCAAAATTGCAGGGTTGTTCCGTAGAATAGCAATACATGTAATAATGAGAAAGTAAAAGGGTTCTTCCCGTAACAGGTTGCTGAGGGGTAACAACAAAATACCGGTAACTAAGAAATTACACCATTATAGATGGAAAATTAACTGACCCCCTGGTTTTTTTACAAGAGACAATTTTTAAAGATTTTTTTGTAGTTTCTTTATATATAATACCTTGAACAAGGTATTTATAATAACTCGATAAAGCTATATATCTTTACCAAGCTATATATTTTTATCATTTTATTTTCTATAGATATCTGGTCTACTCAAGTTATAATTAGATGTCCCTGCTATTGTAAGAATATACAAATATATAAGAATGTAATATAGAACTTTTAATTAGAGGTTAATTAATATGTACATGTATATAAAAATCTTAAAAAATTCATTTACATGTAGTTACCATATTTTCCCCTTTGTAACTTATGTGTCCAGTGGCAAGAGGCCTGTTAGGAGAGGAAGCAAAAATTAATGTAGAAAAGGACAATGTATCCAAAATATAATTTTATTTTTTTTTATTTCCTCCTCCTACCCCTGATGTTCGTAAACCTAAAAATAAAAAAACTTATTTTTTGCAAATTTAGTCAGTATATAGGCAATGAACATCGGGTTAATTAATATGTATATAAAAACCTAATTTTTTGTTGGTTTAGCCCCCCCCTCCCACTTTTTTGCAAATTTAGTCATTATATAGGCAATGAACATCGGGACTTACCTTTTTTGTTGGTTTTGCCCCCCCCCCCCAACGTTTAATATTTGCTTCCGACGCCCATGTTATTACTATAACTTAGTACTTATACTATATAACTTAGTACTTACACACAGTAGTTGACAATAGTCTTTTTTTCCGCTGATATTCGTGCTGGAGAGAAAAATATCTTTTTGTTTATGTTACAAAGGAAGCAGGTAAACTTTGCGCATGCGCAGAGAGGTAGACAGATGTTCCGATTGAAAAAACGTTCGGAAGGTTTCGGTAGGCCAAAAGCTGCAAAAAGTC